AGGGGGAATAATTAAGAATACAAAACCACTCCTGAATCCAGAGGTGGGCAATTCACAGCCCATATGCCATCTTCAAGCAGCACATCATCTGCAGTCCTCCAAGCCTGAGAGCTAATTTTTTAGGCATTCTTTGTGTTTTGGCAGGAAAAGGAGAATCTGAAACTCCCAATCCCTTCAGAAAACATGGTCTAATTTTTCCCATTTGAATTTTAAGAAGCTAAATGGATGCCTTAAAAGCATTTATTTATGAACCCGATTCTTTCTATCAGAAACATAAAACCCAAGCCACCACTAATTTGGTGAACCCCGGAAATGTACAGAAGTCACATTCCCTATTATTTCTATTGGATGTCCTGGTGGCACTCAGTGTCTTTCATCACTTCTCTAGCCTTTTGCTGATACTAGCCAAATGGATAGATCACTCCATTTCAGTTCATGCCAAAAAGACCGTGGAAGTGCTCAACCATTGTCTTGGCTGCAGGGAGAAGTCACATGTGGGTAAACAAATCCCTAAACCAGGGTTTCTTAGACTTTTTGCTCTCAGGACCCCTTCCCACCCTTAAAAATTATGGAGGGCCTCAAAAGAGTTTTTGTTTGTATGGGTTATATTTATCAATATTTACTGTATTAAAAATTAAAATTGATCCATAGAATATTTATTTATTGAATCATACAAAAATAACAATAGTAAACCCATTAGATATTAACATAAATAAAATATTTTACATGAAAAAACCCAATATTTTTTAACAAATAAAAATAATAATGAGAAGAGTGACATTGTTTCAAACTTTTGCAAACACCTTCAATAGCTGGCAAATAATTTTGACTTTGCAAACCCCTGAGAGGGTCTTGGGAGACCCCTGGGGTCCTCAGACCACACATTAAGAAACCCTAAAGAGCTAGAGGCCAGAATACCCTTCTCCCACATGAGCCTGCCAGCAGTTTGTCATCACCACTGAAGGCTCTGACACAAGAGCGGTTAAGTATGCCAGTTCCAAAACAGGGTCTTCTCTACAATCCCCAATTTGTGAATTCCTTTCTTAGGAAGATCAGGTCCCTTCTATTTATGTTCTTCTTGAGCAATGAAAACGAAATTGTTCCATCAGGGTTTTAATGTTTTTTAAGATCTCTTTCTGGTCTTTGTGAAATTAACATATTATCATTTTTTATCATTTTTTCATTTTATTGGTATTTTATTAGTGTTCATTCCAATTTTACTGCTGTTTCTAATCTGAATTTTGTAAATTGTCTTGAATTAGAAAAGAGGCAATTGATGTCTAGTAAACAAAAAAAGAAGTGAATTACTTACGTCTGCCATATGCCTAGTGTAACAGAAGCCAGCCACAGGAGACCAACAATAAGGAATTTGGGAAAATAAAAGGTCATGCATTTCCTTTCTCCCTAAAAAAAGGAAAAGAGAAAAAAAAAGGTGACAACAATATTGGATTTGCTTTACAGATATCAGTTAAAGTTTTATATAAAAAAACTGTTTTCTATTTAAAAGAGAACAACAGTTATACTACTTTCGTGTTGATATTAAATGTAAGAAGAATATATACCTCCCAATAGATTTTTTTTCTATTAGTGGCAGAGGAAGATGTCAGACTGAAGTTTATTACTCTTTATAGAATGACTGTCAAATCTGTGTCAGTTTCTTTGCAGAAACACAACTAATCAATGCCAAAGTTTCTAAAGTCTTGCAGATCTTACTTTTTGCTGCAGATTTTCCTCTGTAGGGTGGAGAAAATATGTAATCTGTTGCATACTTTTTGGAGAGAAGAGTAGTAACAAACCATTTAAATGCTTATTTTGATTTTAATATTTTTTTATTATTATTATTTATGTATATTTAGAATTATAAAGCTTGGTATTTTCTCCAGAAGGGCCTCCAAAGTGTAAGTTTACTGACTTGTTACATTAGTGTAACAAGTCAGCAACCTGAGTATGGTACTTCATATTCCTATAGAAACTTTGTTCAATCAAAATGTTATCATTTATGACACACAGTTTTCAGTGTGAGCTCTGAGGAAGGAGCCACCAAGTACTCAACTTGGCCGGAAAGGCAGAACAGAAACAACAGCCAAGATTATCACTTCCTTCACTACAAAGAAGGCATATCCTTTGTTGCCCTACGAATAATGGAAATTGTTTGGGCTGCTGGCCACATACAATTAAATCCAAAATTATGCAAATGGATTTCCCCTTGAGCAAAAGAAGCTTCCCTCTTCCTCTTCTTCCTCCTCCACTGCCTATCACATAATTTTTCACTACACTTATTCTGAAGGATGCCCCAGTGCCCCAGGGAAATACACACGGGGCTAAAGATAGAATTCTGTTCACCAGCAATACTCATTCCATTGAACACCACTCAATACCTGTTAATACTACATCTTGCCAAGGGAAGCAGGCAAGTTTCACAGAAAGAATTAATGACTGGCTGGGATTTGGGATTAGGGGGATTTAGATTAAACCCTTGTTTAGCCATGAAGCTCATTAGATATTTTTAGGCCAATTGCCATCTCTTAGCCTAGTCTACTTGGTGGAGTTTGTAGAAGAGATAAAAACTATATTTTCTAAGTGTTTAACAAATAGGGCATTATTACAAAGTATAAACCACACTGAAATGTTATTTAGTCCTGTAGTAAGAACTGTGCTGGATGAAACCAAAAACCCAACTTTTCCAGCACTCTTCTCCTACATTGTTCAAGAATATGCGCAGTCCCCTTTTAAAGGCAGCAAAGTTGACTGCTTATTACTACAATCTGCAGCAGCAAATTCTATTGCTTAATTACACGCAATGTAAAGCAGTAATTCCTTTCCTCTGTCCTGAGTTTCTCTCCATTTTACAAGAAAAAAACCTATCCTATCCACTTTCTCCATTCCATACCCCTAATCCCATCCTACCTTATTGGATTTACACTACTGTAAATGTAAAGAGCTCCAATTACTGTCACTTCTCCAGCCCCTCCATCATTTTGAAATGCAGTGACCAGAACTTTACTCATAATCCAAAGTGAGTCCTCACCTGCACTCTGATCCCATGGTAGACACAGAGCCAGAACAGCAGCAATGCACACAAAAACAAGGACTGAAAGAGGTCATCTAGCATTCCAGGAAACCAGCTATTGATTAGGAATGAGAGGGGGAAAAATGGGTCTGCAACAGAATGGGAGAGGGAGAATGTCAAAAGACATCACTGCTGCCACACACAAGAATAGTCTGTCTTTTCTACTGCACACAACACCCAGCCTTCCAGATGTTGCTAAACCACAGCAGCTCAAGTAATGCAACATACAATACAGGTATGCTGAAAGATACAGTTCAGCACATCTGAACTTTGTGCAACCACAATAGTCTAATACAACAATGTGAAACATGTGCTATGTATTTTCTATATGCTATTTCCAATATATTCTATTACGGATTTAAATCACTTGTATTCCTGAGGGTAATTTACTGAGAAAACATTTGCTAAACTTTGAGTTTGATTTGGGAGGAAATTCACTTTCTCACCCATCCCAGCTTGCTATGGCAGAATTCAATGAAGATGGCCAGGAGTTGGAATTCAGCAGGAATTTCCAAAAACTGGGCAAAGGCACTGCATAAGAACTGAAGACGGGGAAAAAACCCTACTCACCCTAATTCCTCTAATGGGCAAGTGGGCACCAGGAAGGGAAACAAATAATTGAGAATAAGACTAACAGAAGCGAATATATGTAGCTCGGGGTTGAACTGTGCAGTCCTTGGGGTTCTCTGAGTTTGGTTGTTTTCTTGCAAACATTTCGTTACCCGGCTAGGTAACATCTTCAGTGCTATTCTATTATTCAGTGAGAATAAGACTACCAAGGAGAGCCAGTTTGGTGTAGTGGTTAAGGCAATAGGCTAGAAACCAGGAGATCGTGAGTTCTAGTCCTGCCTTAGGCATAAAGCCAACTGGGTGGCCTTGGGCAGTCAATCTCTCTTAGCCCTAGAAAGGAGGCAAGGGCAAGCCACTTCCAAAATTTTGCCAAGAAAACTACAGGGATTTGTCCAGGCACTTGCCAGGAGTCAGCATTGATTCAAAGGCGCACACACACACACACACACACACACACACAAAGACTAACGTAAGGTAGTTAGATTGTCAGCTCAGTTTTCACAATTATGTATAAGGCTGCTGCTATCTGATGCATCATTGCTACTGATTCCTTTTTCAGAAATGATCATGCAGCAGAAGGCCGTGCTTATGACTGGACAATGACTGGAAACTTCCTAATGGCTATCCTGAATTCTAGAACTCCTTCTTAAGCAAGACATCACCCTCCACTCAAATTGATATGCTTCTTCTCATTTGCCATTCCATTTTCAAAAACACTACCAGTTTACAACAATGCTGAAAATTAAAAATAACAGCAAGACGGCAACATTGATAACAACTACAACTCTATGAGTCAGCTTTCAGGGGTAGCATGATCTTCGTAAGTCCCTGATTGTCTTTCCAAGAAGCCATGTTTTCAGAACTTTTCAAAACTGTAATGACAGGGCACCCCAGAGTTGGGGGGGGGGGCATCACAAACTTGAGCACAGGCTCTCCGAAGGTTGTATTCCTGTGGACTTTGCCAAGCCCTTCAGCTTTCAACAGTAGGGAAACTTCTTTTTAATTAGAATAAGCCACTGGCCTGTTTCACTAATCATCTTTTTTTGTTACAGAGTGATGGCAGAGGTTTAACTTGATTGCTCATTTTAAAGCTTTTCAGCTACTTGTTTCAAGCATTCTTAATTATTTCAGTATTAAATACTGGGAATAACCAAGCCAAAGATTTTTTTTTATCAAATCTGAAAGTCTGCCATCACATTATGCTGATCAGCTAAGCCTAATGGTTTCCAACTGATTTTAATTTTCATCAATCACATGTGAGAAAGTAGTATAATCCCAAAATCCCATCATATCAGGATGTAATTTGAATATATACCATTATAAAGTAATAGCAGAGGGAGGAGGATTGACATCCACTTCTGCTCTATCCCCCAATCTCGCATGGAGAACTTGCGCAGGGAGTGAGCAAAGAGACACTGCAAAGAAAGGCAGAAGCAACTTGTAACAATGATGCAGTACCTGTTCAGTATAAGAGAAGAGGTGGAATTCAACATGTGCTATTTGAGTGTATGTGCAGCAAGAATGACTTGTATCCCCAAAAACAGAATCCCTGATTGTAGAGCAGGTCTAAGCATAAAATCCCATCTTAACTCAGGCTACATCTTACCTAAGGATAATGGGAGAGATCTGTAACCCTCCAGACACTGTTGAACAATAATCAAGAAATTCAGCCAAAATGGCCAATGATAAGGGATGCTTCAAACGTTCAGCAACATTTGAAGGTCACATATGTGACCATAAAAAAGCCATTGACCTGAAACTCAGCTCAAGTGTATGTGATGTATCATGTATGCAGACATACACACATGATGTAACAGACTTCTCCTATCACGTTCTTTTCTTCTCCTATTGCACATATATTGTCTCATCTTCAACTCTGGCCATTTTTCTCACCTCCATCACTTGTTAAAGAAATATTTTTCCACAAGGTTGTTTAACACAAAACCACCCAGCATCAAGCAATTCTAATATTCTGGATCAAGGAAAATGAATAGCAAAGCAAAGCAAGAGAATTAAACCAACAGCCAGTATAACTAAACAGATACTGGTTGGTCTAAGACAGGCAAACATGCCAAAATATCTTACTAAAACTAATCAGAAAGCTGATACTCACTGTGACTATGAAAGTAAGAACTACAAAGACAAATCGGAACCAGATTTCCACTTGTGAGAAGGCTGGTTTATAAGTTTTCCACTGAAAGAAAGACATAAGGATGTCAACCAAAAGCTCTGTAAATAGAAACAGCATCAATGATACTTTACCCACACACTGTATTTCCCCACTGAGTGCCCTTCAAATGCACATACATACATATCTCTATTATGTGATTGACCAGAATACAACAATTAATAGCGGATGGAACAAAATAAAAGAGTTTACAACTAGTTTATTGATTAGATCAAAGTATAACTAGTTTTGCAGACAGTGTAACAAAGTTTGGCCACATTCATAGAAGCAGAATCATACTGGTCTGATAAATAGCAGCTGCACATAAAATGAATTGGAGTTGCCTGGTTACTTTATTAATTAAAATGGGCCCCTGCACCCTTATAAAAAAGTACAAAATAGCAGGACGTGGTCTATGGTTTCTACAGGGCCTTCTCCACAGAGGCACAACCTTAGCTCGTATGGAATTTTTTTCTATCTTCCCTCCATAACTGTCATAGGGAGTGCATTAAAGTATGCTAAGGTTTGCATCCACTAACCCATTACACTGAACCAATAGAGAGGGGCTTTCTTCACACAGAAGGAACATGTCAACCCATAGTGCAAACATTATTTGGGGGGGGCATCCAAATCATATGGACATGATCAGTCCCCCTTCACTAGTCTACTGTTCTTTAGACAAAACTGGATTACTAATCCTTAGCAATTTAATTGCTGCACCTCAACAACGCCCAAAATCTGAAGACCCATCAACATTTGGGGACTCATCACCATTTATTCATTCCTCTGATCCTATTTCAAACTGAGCTTCAGTAATGCAGCTCACAAAATTAAAACATGAAAAGATAGTAATACTGTATGTATGGGCCCAACAAGAATTAGATTCCTAGAGGCTCTTTTCCCATTCCTGCCAAATTCTGAAGTGTGTCTGGAGAAAAGACGGTATTTTCCCTGAAAGCACCACCACTTGGACTTCTCTCTTTCCTATGGTCTGCTTGCTTCTTCTTTAGAGTCCATTCAGTGCCAGGCAAATATATCGTTATTTAGGCAAGGCTAAACTATCCAGTTATCCAATTTTCTTTTCTGCTTATAGTATTTTAATTATCTGTTTTACTGCAAGAGATAGAATTCATCATATTTCAGAAGAGAGAAGAGTGAGGGAATAATTTTCTCAATCCTTCCTTGCAGTCTCCAGCTCAGCTGCCCATGGTCTCCAACAGTGTTTCTGGTTTACTTTTTTAGTAATTACACTTAGCACAAGACCTTTTTCCTCAGATCAAAACTTTACAGTTTGTCTTTTGTATATCAATCTTCAAGTCATATCAGGTTCGTCTACTTCTATTCACTATTAAAAAGGCCAGACATTTGAAATTTTCTGGTTGCTATATTCAGGAGGATTTTATAATTACTGTAAACTGCTTCAGGATTTTCTATAGAAAATCAACACAAAGAGACTTCCACCTAAAACTGAACTTATATTTTCTGCTTACCTTTACTATTTATACTTACCGTGAAGTTGTAATTCTTGAGGTGGTAGAACTGAGGAAACTTCTCAAAGGCAACCGAGATATCATAACGAGTGAAATTCAAATAACCAAGATGAACCACAATAATTTCATCACATTGCTGTGAATTCGCAATTGGGACATGGAAATAAATGCAAGGGCAGTGAGAACAACAACAAGAACACACTCCACTGACAATTGATATTTCTGGTCTTTTAAACAATTTAGACCTGGATAGACCACTATAATAAATCAGTACTGCATAAGAAAAGATGTCCCCATTCTAGTATGTACAGCAGGTAGCTAAACTTGTCTGGTCTTGGAATGTAAAACCAGGGCTGATTAATATTTGAATGAGATACCTCCACAGGCTAGATCTGGAAGTCAGAAAGCCTCCGTGAAGAATGCAGTGGAAAACCACTTCCATATAGATGCCAAGCTCAACTTTATCTTTTTGATCTTCCCAAATAGTGCTTTGCAGACATGCTGAACTCCAATTCCCATTATTTATGGATTGTATGGCCTTTCTCAAGAGGATCATGGAATGTAAAGTTCAACCTAGCTGAGGGGAGTTGGATTATAACTTATTTGGAATTGCAGTTCAGATGCATTTCACCAAGGAAAGAACTTCTAGCCTACTTTTCTAAAGCTCTCTGCAACCTGATAACTCTATGGTTGTTCTGTTCTCAAAGGATAAAGAGGAGAATAGGCTAATATTGGACCATTAGTTGTGTGGAGTGCTTTCCACAGGAGTGGTGATTTGTGGCTATTATTTTTACTGGAATTGCTACCTGATTCCCATCCCAAAAAACAACACAAAACCTATTGGGTTGCTATAAGTAGCTTAAGAAATTTCAGTGTGCTTACCTTACCACAGTTGAATGTCCTTGTCCGGTTATGATTTTCTTTGTTATAATATCGTACACTTCCATTCTTTAGTACACCACGTATTGTAACCAACATAATAAAGCTGATTTTCAAGCCTTCCAATTTGTTATCTGAAATGTTGAATCAAATGCTTGTTCAAATGCTATTAGGCAAGGATACACAGCCTTGTTTTGAAACATGCCCCCCCCCTTTCAGTTGCATGGGGGGATGCTCTAAAAAACCTAGGTGGGGCCATGAAAACATTATTTTTAATTAAATATAGTTAATAAGACTACTCCCAAGTATATAATACTTTCTCCCTTCTCCTACATTAAAAGATTCAATTCATTAACAACTTTAGGAATTGCTCTGAGAACCATACCCCAGGGTTTTGGAGCTACATATCACCCAGGGCCTCAGATTGTGTTCCCCTCCTATAAGAGGAATAGTGCAACATGTAGAAAAAAATAAATAGGCAGTATAGCATATATAGTATATATAGCAACACACCCAGCTTTGTTTACAGAAGCTTAATACATGTACTGGTTGACGCTAAATTAATCTTCAGGTAACTATTAATTGTTTATTTGCCCTCACCCCATCATTGTTTAAAAGAGTATACAATGACATGAAAAATGTTTTTTTAGGCCTTTTTGTAACTATTGTTTTATTGTATACTGCCCAGTGTCTCACATTTGTGAGATGCACAGCTATATAATTTGATAATAAATAAAAATATATAATGATATGCACTTTGCCATATGCATGGTATATACAACAAATGCTGGCAATTACATGCAACTGATGTAGCTAAAGGAGTAGACATTTTGCAATATGGTCCATTTTCAGGAGAAATTTCCTCAATGGAAAAAATGTATTTTCCTAGTTAACCCAAACTATAGAAGCAACATAATCCATCGTTTCCTGGCACCCTGATTTCAGTAACAGAATTTTTCAGACATATGTTCCATAGCTACAAAAAGTCTTGGCACATACATTCCCTAGGTATACTCTTGACCAACTGAATTGCATTAGTGATGTGTTGCAATCCACTCCTTGCTTACTGACCCCCATCTTTATTGGCTTCTGGGTATGTACAAGGTGGGAGGACAGGGTTATCAAGCACCTAAGAGACTGTGATACAAAACCAGTATATCATCTATGACCCTGTTTTCTCCATGCTAAACCAAAATGGGACACAAATACTATAGACCATTAGCATGTATATATGTAATTAAAATAATGTAGCAAAACAGCAATCCAAAAATACACTAAAAAGCATCCTTACCATAAAGTTGTTCCAAATGCACTGTACAAGTAAGCCATAGCTGTTGATTATAAGTAGATACTGGTGGCGAACTTAAATGAAACAGCTTTACCTACAACAAAATGGAAGCCACAGTTGTAATCATGTGAAATCTTTCCACTAGAAATCATTCTAATAGAAGCATAAGATAGTCCAGTTTTTACCAGTAAACAATAGCTTGTAAGAAAAAAAATAATCTCCATACATAAAGCTGACTTCCACATATCTGTTAAGTGTTAATAGTACAAATGTTACCTAATCCAAGTTCAGGTAAATGTTTTCAGCAATACAGGGGCATGCATTAAAAATGCACCTCCAGCAAATAAAAGAATTATCCAAATGTAATTTATTAAAAGGAAATATTCATGAATATGTCATTCATTCAATTCATAACACTGACAGTCTGGAAGAGGTTGTCCTTAGCCATAAAAAATATTCTGGACCCTAAGAAATCTTTAAAAATTGCATTTCAATTAAGAGAAAGGGACTAATGGTTTATTTGGTAAGGAAGCAGCAGGAAGGACATAACTGCTGTCACCTCCAAATACATCCTAGGTGTCAGTGGAAAGAAACCTGATCCTTGCTACTTGAACAGTTATGCAGGCCATTGTCTCAAGATAAGCCCAAGATCATAGGTAATATTATGCTGAATTCAAGAAACAATTGTTGGAATGATAGTTTCCCCTCTAATGTGTTTATATACCAGTTAAAAATTGTCTGTAAAGTCAGAATACATCACATCTAAAACCAAGGATAACAAGACTTACCTTAGAAGCATTATTCATCAGAGGTGTTTCTTGAATGCAATCAATGACATCGGGACCTGAATGATATATAAAGGCACAGGACTTAATCTATGAATATGGTAATGACTACCTTTATGTTTGAAAATGTCAGGAACAGTAAGTCTGTCTCAACAGCAGCACACACGACTGTTTTATACAAAAACAAGTGAAGGATAATCTCGCCAATGCAGTGCCTACAAATTCTATTCAAAATGGGGGCGATGAATGATGCCAGCCTGATATTCTAGAACCAGCAAATGTTTAAAAAAGTCAAATGCTTTTAGGAGAAACACATCATTCAGATAAGATTATGGAATATATCATGTTAAACTGCAGGACAAACTAATCCTCTTCCCATGAAAGCAGAAAGACTTTCCATCTCCCGAGAAACCTGTGTATCTCACCAAAGGATAGAATGTTGCACCTCCCTTTAAAAGCAAACAGTGTATATCAGTAACTCGGGCTTAGGTCAGCAAATCAGTCTGCCTAGCAATTGTGCAAAAGTAAAGCGTCTGCATCAGCACCCACTTCCCCAGGATAACAAAGGTTAGGTTCATCCTTCCAACGTGACACCAAATACCATCTATGTGGCCCTGGAGGGCAACTATCCTGAAGGCATTTCCTCAGCAAACTCCAGATGAACCCAGCATGCTTTACATGTATTTAGAATCAGGTGTAAGCAGTTTATATTTAAATACTTGCATTTTATTCAGACACCACATTCTTATGCAATATCGTTGAACAATATTGCCTCTATTAAATATACAAATGGCCTTTGAAACTTCCCATTAAAAAAGCAAACCACAACTTGTGGTGGTGAGACTATTCTACACAAGTTTTCTACTTTGTTGGAAGCGTAAGATTCCAAGCTGGAGAGCTCACTGATCCAGCTTTACTGACAACTGTTCAGTCTCCCTGTAGAGAAGGCTTGGAAGCTGCTCCAAATTGCTGGTATACTGATCTTGGTGGCCCTTCCCTAGTGTGTTTTACATGGACCCCAGCTGAGAGAATCAACTTGGTGATTCAATTGTTAAATACTACTTTATTAGCAGAGCAAAATCTCAATTTAGAATAATTAAAGAACACTATTTGTCCCAGGATCCCAGTCGTTACCACTTTTTAAAAGCAATTATAAAGTAGTCAAGCACATGATGATTAGATTTTTCCCAACTGATTTTTACCGTTCTAGAAAGTCAGGATCCTGAGAAATAACTTGCTCTGGTGGCCACATCCAGAATTCTGGTTTACTACTCTTAATTTGCACTCTGACAGCATAATTTGCAATCAACATACAGGGTAACAGCACTCCCAATCTTCTGAGCCATGATCCTGATGCATCTTAAACAATACAACTGATCTAAATTTAGGGGGAATTCCAAGATTTTCAAATGTACAAAAAATCCTTATGGTAGAAAAGACTCCAGGGGCCAGCAAAAAAAAAAAAAAAAAATCAGTTTATTAGCTGAGAAGCTGAAAAATGGATGGAAAAATGAGAAGCTGGAATCTGAAATGTGCAGCTATCTGCATATTCAAAATTTCAGTTCTTAACTAGGTAAACTGGTGGCTGAATCAGCTTCTCCAGAAAGGTGAAGACAACTTGCTCTGAATCTTTTGGAAGGATCTACATCAAACAGTAGCATACAGCTATCAATCATAAAAGTCACACTTCAGAAGTCACACTTCTGAATCTTGTCGCTGAAGGGGGTGAGAAGAGGGGTGTGGAGAACAGCACAGGGTATGGAGTGCAAAGGCAAGAAGGCAGAGCATGTTTGAGGGTCATGGGTAGGACTTGTAGGTCACCAACTATCACTACTGTTAAGACACTTAGTATTTTTCAATCCTGCCCAAAATTCATTTTACATTTGTACACCAGAGTACAAATAAGGAATATCTTCAGTGGTTTCATTGATATGCAACGAATAATCACAAGTACAGCCCAAGAGCAGAATGAGAAGCTAGAAAAGATCTGGAAGAACATGTGAAAACCTTACCTGCAATGCCTATCAAGACAGTCAGACCAAAACAAAAGAAGAATACCACAAAGACCAAAACGAAGTGGCGCTTGGACAGAGTATATAATCGCATTGGAGCCAGTCTGCAGACAAGGAAAGAAAGAATGAGGTGCAGGTAAACATCCAGCAGCAAACCTTTATGTTGGTGGGGGGCGGAGGGGATGCAGTTTTCTTCCCGACATTCAAATCCAAAATTATAAGATAGAATTTCTGCAATTATCTTGTACTGCACACAGTCATTAATTCATGTTTTTAAAGGATTTTTGGACATCACTTTGGAAGGATTTATATCAAACAGTAGCATACAGCTATCAATCATAAAAGTCACACTTCAGAAGTGCATGCATAACTTACTCCTGATTAACATAAAGCAGGATATGTGTCAATGGTAATGGCTACCGTATCATTCTCCCTGTGCGTGGTCAGAAAACGACACTCAGATGTTCTTGAAGTAATCAGAAAGCAACACAAAAACACATTTCAGACCACTGCAACAGGTCTGCTATAAAACAAACTGGCCAAATCATGGTCTATTACCGATCACTCACTCATCTGCTTTCTGACATTCATTTGGAGGAAATACATCATTTTCTGATGTAACATTTCCCTCCTTAAAATTCCGTATGATACAAATTATCAGATTCAGAGCTGCAGAAGGAATTTTCTAAAAAGAGATCTTTTATAAGAAAATGTAATTTGTAAGAAAAACCTCAGCATCAAAATGAGAGGGGGAACAAAGCAGAAAGCAATGGAGCTAACACCTTCTGAGCCGCTGTTTTCCTTTCCACACACCCAGCGAACCTTTTTTTTTTTTTGGCAGAAGTATGGAAAAGCAGAGAACTACGGGCAGAAGCAGAGGGTGAGGGAAATGTTAGCATGTTTCAAGCGTACAGTTCACTTCTCTGCATATGCATCTAAATATATTTGCATCCTACTCTACACCTGACATACTAACTTTTTTCACAGGGTAAGAGTTATAAACAAATCCAGGCTGCTACTGTATTGGGCCATATGTTTCTTTCTTCTTCCTTACATTACACAAGAGCAGGAAAATGAAAGGACAGTCAGGAAGTGCACAAGCCTGCACTGTGCTTCCTCCTCACACCAGGAAGAAAACAAGTTCACCCCTGTGAAGCCAAGGTTGGGAAGAAAATAAAACGCCACACTATCTAAATTCTCACCATGCCATGCTCCTAGTCAATTCAGTTTGTGATGCCCAAAGCAGATGTACTGCAGGTGGAGTTTACGGAGCCATCATTCCAGGTTGGTCAGGCAAGCCAGCCAACTACAAGCTGAAGGGAAAGCTATAGTTCCCAAGGCCATCTGCCCCAGAGGAATGATTGCCTTCTTAAGACTAGAAGCACCAGCAGGTCCCCTAGTCCCTGCTAGCGTTCCAGAGGCCTATGAAGAGCCTTGAGCTAAGGTGGCTGGAGCCCCTTGTGCGTTCTGTTTTGGACGGATTTGCCATCTTGTTCTTTACCTGCTTTCACTTACAGTAATACGTTGGTTCACGAACACTTCTGTTCACAAACAATTCGGTTCACGAACAGCACCGTTCGCAAAAGTTTGCTTCCATTT